GTGACTTACATGCTCTCCCGTGTCTATCCGAAGTTTCTGGCAGACTGCACATCTGCGCCAACGCGCCACACTACAGTGGCAGCTCATGGGAATCTTTGCAGGCTGCCGTCAATTTGAACTCACCAAGGCAAGTTGAGCGTGGTCGGGACCCGGTGGGGTGGCACAGCCTGCTCTTTGCTGCCTTGCTGGAGGAAGTTATGCGGGATGTCGGGTGGCTACAAGCTCAGAATTTGCAGACATCCCCGGGCGAGGCCCAGGTGGTGGTCTTGTGCACACTGTCCAGGATCTCACAGCCATTGAAGCAACGTCTTCAAATCTCTTGAAGGCTTAGTGAAGGTTGTGCACGTGGACTCTGCGCGCGGTCTTGACTGTCACATCTGCCACATCATCAGAAGTCGCCGGTATGTCGGACAGTCAGACCAGCACTGGGGCTTGCAAAGCGACCCGCGCTGAGAGTACGTGAGTTTGACGCGTGGCAAGCAAAAGACCACTGTCTGGCTGGAGGACACTCCCTTTGGGGTGCCTGGCCGCACCGTGTGGCAGGGCACGGCCATGGCAAGAGGAATGGCAGATGCCCACGCCCGTAATGACTTTCTTGCCCGGCACGCCAATTGGTACTGGTGGTACGCGCTGAATGACAAGGCATCTTGGCCTGAGGCCTTTGCGGCTTGTTTTCAACGCCGGCCACGCCAGCAGGCTGAAGTGGATCAGAAGCTCTTGGAAGCCAAGCGCATCATCAAAGAGGGCCTGCTGTCTGAAGAGCCTGGTCTGCAGCCTCCGCCTTGCCTGGGTTGGATCCCTTGCTGACCGCAGATTTGCAAGGGTTCCTGGAAGCCAGCGCCAATGAGGTGCGGCAGAGCGGTGTTGATCGATTCCAGCACTACTGCCCCCGAGTGCCTACAGGGGATGGCGGCTTTGCCAGGGTTGCCCAACCAATGGCCTACGACGCACCGCTTCTGCGTGCCGCTGTGGCATTCGCCTTCGGAGCATCTACGCCTACGGTGGCTTTGTCCAAGAGCCCGTCAAAGGGTGTCACAGAGATGTGCATCCCGTATATCATGCTCCCTGGCGGCGTCAAGTTCGGCATGGACCCCAATGGCTACGAAATTATGCTCGGCGGCTTGATCATGCTAACTTGGGCAAGCCATGGGCTGCTGCACAAGGACACTGAAGCATTGGTGCCAACGCTCGTGCCTCACAAGGCCGAGGCTGCCGAACTGGACGGCACGTGGTGGTACCACAAAGCTTGCGAGAGCGATCGGATTGCATGCGCGCTGATTAACAACAGCTTGCGCGGGGGAAAAGCCAAGCGCCTCTATCTCTACCTGGGGGGCGGCTGCGTGGAGTCCCAGCAAACACAGATCTGTCAGGGCGTTGTCGTCCGCGCAAAAACGTGGGAGCTGGCCCTTTGTGTCCTGATTGCGCTCCGCCTGGCAAGCAGCTGTCTTTGTAGCCTGGAGGGCTTCAGCCCTGAGATCCTGCCCGACGAAAAGCTCATGCAGAGCGAGGAGACCGTCGAGGCATCGGGCCAGGACCGGCGGGGTTCTGCTACGTTTGCCTAACGGCTGTTTGGAACCTCTTGACCTCTCACAAGTCTTGGAACACTGAAACTGTTTCTTGTTGCTCAGCTACTGAGTCCAAAAGAAAGTGTCCTGACACTTCCCATGGACACTTTGCTTTCTTAGCCAGGACCCTTTGGAAGACGATGACTGGGCTCCTGCAGCTTCTGCGACCGAAGCCGGGGCTAGCAGCGTGATGGATTTTTTGAAAATGTATGCTACGGCCTGGTCTCGCGTCGAGCAAGATATCGCTTGGCCAGCGCAGTCGGGCGCCGCCCCTTTGCAGCGCTTTCAAGCCGTGTCCAAGATGATGGCACGCGTGGCTGCTGGTGGCAACTCAGCTTGGTAAGCTGCGCGAGGAGGCAAAGCTATGACTGAAAAAGATGGCAGCGCGCCGTTCTGCAGAGCGTGGAGTGTGTGTGAAGTGGACGAAGGGTGCGATATTCCTTCCAATGAGCAAGAATGCGCTCCCCACTGAGGCCAGTTCTTGTGGACCCCCTTTGGCCAGACCAATTTGATAGCATGGGTCTAAGTTTCGCTGCGCTTGGTGCGCCACGGATAGGCACAGCGGCTCGGCAACCTGCCGGAGAGCAGGCTTGATCATTCCACCTTGGGAGCCACTACCTTGTGAGGAGACCGTTGAAGGGTTTTGGGGAGACCTGGGAACGCTTCACACGTCCTTCAGAACAGGTCAGGCTTCAGGAGGCATCGCGGATGGTGACTTGGAAGACTTTCGAAGATTTGGGGGCCTTGATGGCTCTGATCCTCGCAGCCATTTGTTCAACAGGTTCTCGTCAGCAAGCCAAAAGGATAAATCATGTGTGTGGCATCCGAAAGGAACCCGTTTGTCAGAACCCATCTAGTCTGAGGGTGGAGAATGACGCCTGCGCGTGGCGGAATGTGACAATGTGTGTTGCGGCAAAAAAAGCTAGGTGCGCATGAGCTTGTGTTTTTTGGAGGGTGCCCCTTTTAAGTTGTTAGAGAGAGACCAGAAAGAAAAGCTCATTTTTTGGGGTCCCCCTGCTTTGACACATACCTATTTGAGTGGCGGTTTTTCCGTTCAAGCAAACATGTCTAGATGTTGACGTATGAACGAAAAAAGGGTAGCGCCGCACGCCGCACTGCAGCCTTGGAAGGTTCGCGGAAGGTTTGCGGAAGGTTTTTTCCCCGCGGAAGGTTGCATAAGGGACGTTGTGGCTTTGCGCATGGCAGTTTGATTTCGTTTGGGTGGCTGTTGCCAAGTACGTTTGCTAGCAAACCATGCACACGAATTAGGCAGCACTTATATATATAAACTTGTATTTAAACTTGTAGAGAAGCATGCTTGCGGAAGGCATCCTTCACACCGGAAGGGTTTGATACATCAATGCAAATTTAAAAGGAGTTAAAACCACCACTCATGTCGTTCAGTGAAGCTGCAGTACACACGACTCTTCACTTCCCGCCCGGGCCAGGCGTCTGGCGGGGAGCTTCTCATAGTTGAGGACCCCACACCCTTTCTGTTGCTTTAAAGGGAAGCCGAAAGGAAACCCCATGTCATTTCGGGAGGTCCCCTAAGAGAAAGACACGCCTAAAAGGCGAATCAGCTCTTCACTGCGGCTGAGTCTTTGGCGACGGCGGCGCAGAAAAAGTAACCGGTTGTGTTGCAGGGGTACGATGGGTGATTCCGGCCGGGCCTGTGTCCGAGGATCTGGGGATGGTTATGGTCATGCTCACCAAAGTACCAAGTAGTTCTGACATGGCTGGTGCAGCTCCAAGTTTGCGGAGGGTTCTTTGGAATATAGGCCGGCAAAAGGCGCTAAGACCAAGTTCTTGAAAATGTGAAAATGTGAGACCTACGAAAAAACATGTTTGTTGGTAGGTCCCAACTTTGCGACGCGCGCAACCGCTGCTTTGGCTAGGCCCTTAAGATTCCTGAAGATTCCTTGGTCCCAACCGCAAACTGAAATTGGCTCCCAGCCGGCACAACCAGTGCGGCCGGCACGGTCGGCGTAGCCAGCCTAGCCAGCGTCAACAGCGCAACCAGCGTAGCCAGCGTAAACCAGCGTAATCAGCGTAGATCAGCGTAATCAGCGCAAACCAGCGCAAACCAGCGTAAACCAGCGTAATCAGCGTAAACCAGCGTAATCAGCGCAAACCAGCGTAATCAGCGTAACCAGCGTAATCAGCGTAGCCAGTGCATCTGACGTGTACCAGCGTAACAGCGTAACAGCGTAACAGCGTAGAGCGACAGTGACCAGCGTATCAGCGTATCAGCGTAACAGCGTAATGCGACACGGTTTGCCACCACGCTGTAAACTTAGGGAACCCCCAAAAGCGTGGTTTTCCTCGTGGCTTCCCCTTGGAATTCTGAAAACAAGACACACCCATAGGGGCATGTGAGTTTTCAGGGTATTGTCATGGTTGTTGTTGAGAAACATTTTACATTTTTGCTTATTGTGGTTTAGTGGGAAATCCCCACTTAACTGCTCAAATTGAATTTGTTGCTCCCCTTTCAACGTCAACCAAGTTTGTTGGGTTGTTTCCAAGAACACATCCAGGGAGTCCCATGGCAACCCATGGCAAGGGGGGTGGCTCCAAGGCCAAGTAATTTGCACGCTAAAAACAACGTACTACATCCAGTTTTGGCATGTTTTTGGTGTTTTAGTTTCTTGGTTCTATTCATTTTTATTAGGGGGTCTGCAAAACACAAAGTGGGAGTTCTTCTGGTTGAACCGTTGGGGCTCAAAAGGCCTTTTGGCAGGCAAGGTTGGCCCAAGCAAGCATGTGTTTGCCTGCCGGCGACCTCAAGCGGGGTTGCGACCTCACACATTTGGTGGAAGCTGAATTCTCTCATGAACCCCAAATCCCTTGGCTCGGAGTCTTGGGGAGGATTGGTAGGGACTCTGACACAAGATTCCTCACTGGACTTCTTTTAGCAAGGGGCCTTGCTAGATGGCAGGGGATTTCATTGGGGTTTGTGCCAGTTTGGTTGGCTGTGATTCTGAACTGTTGCCAAGCCGTGACTGTGGGTGAGCTGCCGTTGAAACGAGAATGGGTTGAATGGGCTTTCCGTGTTGTGGTTCCTTCCTTCCTTCCTTCCTTCCTTCCTTCCTCCCTCCCTCCCTCCCTCCCTTCCTACCGATCTTCCTCCACTCCTCCCTTCCTCCCCTACAAGGGAATCGAACCGCATTCATCCCGACTGCCCATAATTTTCAACACGGGTGCAGAAATACCATTAGTGCACATGGTTTTTTGAGTTGGCACCCCTTCACAACAAAACAGGTGCCCGCAAAAGACGACAATCCCACATTTGGGGTTGCTCATTTTTGGGGGGCTCACCCCTTTTTTCTGGTTTTGAAGGGAAGCCAAAAGGACAACCGATGCCATTTTGGGCCCCTAACACCAGGCCACCCCCAGTTGCTTGTGTTTCCCAAAGGTTTTTCACCAAAGCCCGGCCAG